ACAAAATAAAGCGGTAAAGTACGAAGCTCAAGAGAGGGAGGGATATCACACAAAAACTACCGGATGTATGTTGTTCTTACGTTCCGCTTTTACTACCAACAACCACAGTTGGGAGTTTATTCGGACAAATAAACTATTTTTCGGTTCCGCGAATGTAAGAAAATACAGCAATTTCATTGATTTAACGGCAGTACTTCCCAATTCATCAACAATTTTCTTACTTTAGTTCAGTGGAAATAACCTTGATCGAAAATTTTGTGAACGATACACTATGTGCGAACGAAAGGATTCACCCGTTGAAAATCCTATGATCCAAAATAGGCCAGGTATAATGATAGCCTGCGCTGTCCGCAAAAATTTTCTGTGCGTGCGAAACAAATAATTTCATGGCAAGGGCTATAATTTGAAACAATTGAATCAGAAATACAGAAATGCGTTTAAATCGTGGATATCACGCAATACTGTACTTCATAAGAGATACGTACATACATATAACTAATGAAAAAGCGATAGCTGTTCGGTTATACTGATAACTGGCTAACTGCTCAAAGCGGTCAGAAAGGGGCGGACATACTAACGTTAATTTGTATCCATATTCTGGGTTTAATTTCATATTCGGATAATAAACTAGGGACTCCTTTCACCACTGATTCTTACGAATATCCAATATACATCGGTTATTGATCGAATTAAATCACGGTGATTTAGGCCGCACGTTGTCGGTTTGTTCTTATTGTTAATAAGAGCGTAATAATTTAAATTCACTAATCTCTTTGTATTAATGCATCACGTGATGTGACGTAATAATCTTGGAGCAAGGTACATGGTGACGTAACAAACCTCAGATTAGCGGAGATGATGTCTTCAAGGAAATTGGAATCAGTAAACAAAGTTTCCTAAATTAACTGGCTTCCATTAGCAAATAATAAACATGGCTGCACAAAAATAGAAAATTAATAAGCTAGCTGTCGATATGGTGAGGTAGCCAACGACAGGGTAATTATTATGAATCGATTTAAACCAAGAATCGAAGACAATTGCCTTTTATATTTCAGCGTTTTGTGCTGTATTTATTGGAAAAAAAATTCTATTTTCATCTTCGATGCGCACAATGATATTTTGGACTCGATAAATGTTACATGAACTGCAGAAACAACAAATATGCTAATTAAACGTTTTTAACTGCAATTTTAAAGCAAACGATACAACAAAATTAAAAATTTCTAGGTAAGGCAAGCGCACAAAGTGCAATTTTCTTGAGGAATTTCATTAAACGCAGACAAAATTTCGGAATAGGTTACAATTAAATGCGAATTGCGCGTGTTACGGTCAAGTACTGGAATTTATTTACGACAAACAAATTACAGGACGGTGCAGTTGTAAAAAAATTCTTTTTGGTTACTTACATTTCATTGTCAATCATTCTGTAATAAAATGTTTACACACTGAGCCCTCTTATGTCCCCAATAAGAACGGAGAAAATTAGTAATATAGAAAATCTGAAAATTTAATGATGACATATTTTGTCGACTAAAACAAAAGTATCCAAAATGAACAAACATATTACAAAAGAAGCATTGAATTTGTATAATACTTTGAACAACAAAATTTAGCCTTTGCCACTAGAACGAAAACTTTTGATTTAAGCCGCTTTAGTATTTAAAGACATGTCATGTGGCCTTTGTTAAGCGCACCAAGCCGGATATTCTTTGTACTAGTTTTGATAAATATATATTAAAACTGATTTACGTCATTGAAGGAGTGACAAAGTACTTGCATATATACCTTGTATAACTATATTTCAAAATCTGTACAGCTAGGCAATAAGACCAAACTGCCTGATCACCCCGTCGTCTAAAAAAGTACCGTAATTGTAATTGCATAACCTCTGCGTGATCTATTGGAAACGCAACGAAACCCATTATACACAAAAATCGTTGAAGACTTCTATTTTCGTTTAAGATAAGACCGTTAGATATGTGATTCGTTTTCGATTTCGACTATTGTAATCATTAAAACCCTACAATACTGGAATCCACGCATATCGGCATTAAAATTCTTACACGCGATTATGACGTAATAACTCCCAGTGTTTGACAAGTAACGGTGATTTATATTGAATGAAACCTTTACAAAAACGCCAAACCGAAATAACACTTGAACTAAATATAGATTTCATTTTGATTTGTGTTACTATTAAAAGCTGTATTCAATATAGCGTTACAACCGAAGCATTACAGAGCGTTTGTGGCAGTATTTTGGCGCCAAAAGAAATATCCGGTAACGGTTTCAGCTATGTTTTGGGTTGTAATGTTAAAACTCGGTTTCTTTACGATTCTTTTCATTAAATACCTTTCTCTAACAGTGGTCACTTTTGTATGAAATGTGTACGCGTATTTAGTTACACCAAGGACGCGTGTTTCTTCCGCGTTGCAATGTATAACAGTATAATAGTCGATAATAGGCAATCTGTTATCACTTGTACGATATCTACATCTTATAGACTTAGAGTCAGCCATCTGGCGTATAAAGCTTTGTCGTATTTCAAAGATATACCGAAGTGAACAGAGCGGTAAATAGGTCGAACAACGTGATACATTATAGTTTTAAACTCTATTTCCTTGATATAGAAACACTCCATGCTGGGATATTAATCGATAGATATTGCATAAATGTTTGTATCCTGTTTTATATGAACCGAGTTTCTACAAATTATAAATATTTTCACAAAACTGATGAATTGGCTTTTTTTCAAATTATATGAAATTCAGCATAACATTATAATTAGTCCTTAATCGGATAATAAGTACCACCAAATTTGGTGTTTAGTGACAAATTCGTAGGTTTTCCAATCATTTCACTGGAAATTATATATAATTGATATAAATTAGAAGCATTAAGAAACTAGGTAACGAGAATATTACAAAATTGAATTCAAAATAATCTGAATCTTCAATATTATTTCCATATATTTATGTGAAAAGCCTTCGAATTAAACAAGGTCTTAGAACAGCATACTACTGTACACAATAGACTACTCAATATTAGAGAGGGATGAAATTGAACCGCCTAAGCACAGCCCTACCCTTTTAATGCCATGTGCTGTGATAAATTGGTGGGTATGAGGGTGAAGCTCGAGATATAGATTGTCCAACAATGTGAATATTATCTCGATTTATAATAAAATCATGACATGACAGAATAGATAAGTGGTTTCAGCAATATTTTCTGATATGGGGGCGCTCACCAGATGCAACGATTGCTGTGATACAAAGGGTAACGGACTGGCGACTTTGTTGCGAAACCGCCACGCGTCAACCATCATGGCGTAAACAAATCACGGCGCCTTTTGCTAAGAGCAAATAGACCAAAACCAAGCGGTTTACAGACACATATCAGGGGTATCTATTACATAGGACGTTATAGTGGGCTTCTAGTTGAAAGCCTTGAGCAGAAAACCATTTTGGTAGCCAGGTGGCCATTACAGCGATGCGTCTGAGAAATAGGTTTGGAGGTCGATGCTGATATTTTTACGCTGTTCGGGATTTTTTCAGTTAAATGCAGAGACGCTGATGCTATCAGCATAACACAATGGGACAATTGCCGTGTGGTGAAACTCGGGACAATTTCGTATAGTTTGGTAAAATCATAGTCATTATCCGGAATGGCGACATGTACTGCGTGATATATATTATACGTAATGTAAAAATAATAGTCACGTTATTGCGTCAATTCAAAATTACGTCATCACGCAAACGATAATTTTAAGCGAAGTGCCACGTATCACACAAAGGCATAAAATATTTAGTTCTTGGTTGTGTATGGTGTATGATTTACCCCGCTACGGTATATAGGCTATGGATCAATCGCTTAAATTAAATGAATAATTAAATACTCATGCCACGATAAACTCACAATAATCTTCGTTTTGAAAAAAATACACGATCATCGTTCCCTAAATTCAAAGACAATCATACGCTAACGTAAATTCGGTCGAAAATTGATACAACGCTAATCCTCAATTTCAAGGTAAATTGGTCTACTGGGAAATACCCCATCAGCCCATCAGTTTATGCAGTAATCCCGTTTTATCTCAGAACTTAACGTGGACCGAAACATTTCAGATATACAATTATTATTGAGACGCGCAATCAAGCATGACGTATGGCATTTGACCTCTAATATCAAGGCCAAATTATTTGCATCGATCTTTCTTGGGGTCGATATTGGAAAAGTTTGGCGAGCCAAACTATATGGATAAAAAATAACAGACTTGAATCATTGGCCAGAGATAATCAATGTATAAAATGTCAGCCCACGAAAAGCACATGTATGATAAACATATAATATGTTCGCGACATTTTAGTCAAAATACTTTCGCCTGGAAATCGATAGGGTGCACTTCCATTAAGAGTCATTTTCTCATCTTTTTGCCTCATTACCATTTCAATCAACTCAATTCAGCAACCAAGTATGGCCAAATAAGACTTGAATATAAATTGAATATAAAACCGAACATAGCCTACAGAAGGTGGTCAAGTTTTATTTCGCAATGATAAGACGATACTGAATTTCATCAGACCGTTGCATTAAGTAACTCGATCGCACCTGTCACCCGAACGTTACGGGAACTAAACGTAATAGAATTCCAAAACGTTTTAAATTCCCAATGTGACGTCATAAATGCCAACAGTATTGGTGAAATTTCAGTCACAAAATGCTATAGGCTCAACTAACACACGAGGAAATAAACGTAGTATGTGTACCATGTTAGGGTTGGGCCATAATTTCAGGTACAAATACTACGGGAGTCAGTTGGCTAGTCCCCGAACTCGTATTAGAACTAAAATAAGGAAAATTGGATTAAAATGATGGCCTAACCCTAACCTGGTACACATACTACGTTCCGGTGTCCGCCATCTTAGTTCATATACCACGGGAGTACCTAAGATGACATGCAAAGGTAAATGATGAAAAAAATTGAATAAACTCAGACTCACCATTCCAAATAGGAGATGTTGTATTTTCGCTGAAAGTACATCCTTGTTCTTTTTCTCTGGTTTGGGAAGAGTGTCACTATCCGACGATGAAGAGGATGATAAGTCATTATTGTTTTTTGAATTATTATTGTTCAAGTTTTTCAGTCTTGAAGCGTTAAATTGAGATACACTCAATCTTTTTCTGATTATCTTTTTCCCGCTTTTTGTGACGTCATGATTTGCATTATTGTCCGTACAATTTGTGAAATGATTATTCACGTTTGGTTCTACGTTTTCGTCATTTAAAATACACTTTGGCATTTTCAAGCTGAGTTTACTGTCGACGTGAACATAACTCGAAGCATCGAACGAATCGTCGGAGGCAGCGCTGACACGACGCGACCCATAAGAGTCGCCGTCCTCCGCGTAATACGTAGCAGACATCCCTGTTACGGGTTCGCCGTCAAATGCTTCCTTCCACATTTTAGGCTACCAACTTTTTTTCGTTGCACAAAATCGTTCTTTGCTTTTTAGATAGTCGTGGTCAAAATCAATTCTGATACCAGTTCAAAAATCCAGACCAAAATAAAGCTCTTGAGTCAATAATATGTTTAATATTTATGCACGTATATCTAAACATGAAAAAAAAAATATTTAACTTCGGAATAATTGTATGCAGTAAAAAAGCTACAATTAGAACGTCTGACTTTGTTGCCTATATAAATAAGTCCTCTTTCAAGACACAAACCAAATCTAAAACTGTAATTCTAACATGTATCTTCAAATTCCCTCGCTGGCGTCTAACACAATATGGAAACAATATTTAGAAGGGTGGAGACTGTCAGATATGATTTCCATATGCTAAATACCATAAAATATCAACAATCTGTCAAACACAACTTAGTTAACCAAACTAACAGCAGTACTCGATTGGAAATATGTCATGAAAACTCTACGACTACGACTCGCGAACCAAGTCGATGATAATAAGCCGTTTCGACGATTGAAATTTGAATCAGTGACCCCGCGGGTTCTCTTCTATTCTCTTTAATTAATCCTCTCACTTTCATGCTTTTTTTCTATTCGCGCCTCCGAATCCTCTCTCTTAGTTTCTTTATTGCATTTCGCGCCTTCGCGAACCATTCGCTTTGTTTACATGTGACGCAACAATAGATTTACTCGAGTTCCAGATTGACTGATTCCTTCATGGAGTGCGACAATAGATTTCGTTTTATGAAATGTACAATACATATTGTAATTTTATTGACAATACGTTTACTACGTCGCACTTGTTAATAATGCCCTTTCCTGTTAAACTAGGGCGCAATGTTCTGGGATCTATTTCCGTCGCAGTTACGTACAATTAAAGTAAAGCATCTACCAGTCGGGGTTGCGATTGGCTAACTACCTTTCATTACTTATTGCCTTTGTGCAAGTGAATCCGTATGCATAGAATGCAAGAATGCTGTGGCAAGAATAATGATAACGTTCTATTTGATGCAAGAGTATTAATGCACCCTGACACAAATTTATTTCTGTAACGTTTCGTTCGACGTCAACTTTTACTTATTTGCATACTATCGCTTTTCTTAACATCGTTGAAATATTCTTGTCTGACCTGGGTGGGACGAAACTTTGCAGAAATATCGTTGTACAGCTAGACTCTTGGGTCAAATATAAAAGCAAAGTATGTTACTGAACAAGCCTACATTGATGTAATATTGTTGAACAACAATGACTTCCAATATGCGTCAAGTAAGCTTATTTAATCCTTAATTTCAAACTAGTTACGAATGTGGGTTATTCCTGCTGCGTCTGCATCGTTCTTCTTCTTTACTGATCTTTCACTGAAATATATAGTTATATATATGGCAACATGGTACATCCCCGATATTTTACCGTGTGAGCCTTTTCCAACTTTACACCTTTATATAAGTGGCGTGTGATGGCTTATCAGTCGCTTGAAATTGGCGCCGAAAAGTACATTCAGTCTCATGTTCAATTCGATTGTACAATGACGAGAGTTCCCACAAGTCTGGCACCGGCGATTTAAATGTACTTAACACGATTTAGCCAGCGCCATTGCGATTCACAATTTGGTGTCGCAAGTCTACTGCAGAAATGCAAATAACTGCTTGTTAAATTACCGTTAGTAGACGGGAACTATCGACATTTAATTGCGAGAAATCAATCCGCGCCGAAGTGCGAATTTGACATCATCAGACTTCCTTTGATCCTGTTTATTGTCAAGTGCTCAATTAATTAACTCATTAATTAGCGTAAATGAAGGTTGGTAGCTGTGGGTGCCAGTAAACAAACAAAACGCTATCTGAGAGTGTCGCTGGCAAGGGGCCTGCTAAACTGAGCCTTTGATCAAGTTATAAGATATAGCCGCACTTATTTCTCTGTTATTTCACGTGATGTTAGTTCTGTTCCCAAGCTTGACTGCCGGAATCGAAGAGAACTGACGAATGGACTTCCTTGTGAAGGTAAACAAATGCTTCCTAAACATAGACTCTTGGATAAACACTTGCTTCAGAGCTAAGGGTTCATCTAACGGATGTCGGTGTGCTTTGTCACTATAGCACCTACAGGAAGGGTTTGTGCAAATATGAAAATAAGTCGGTGCGAATGAATTTATTCTGTTCTGTTCTAGATTTTTCATTGCAAGTCCAGATCTGGTAGCCTACCCTTATCGGAAAAACTTTAAAATTATTCTGTGGTATACCTGTGGTAAATTCATGTACATATTACAACCCAAATCCATAAAGTTGTCTTGGCAGAAGCAAAACTGTGATCGAATCTGAAGTCTATCGTATGCAGTTTTGTGCTTGGGTGGGAGGAAATGGAACAAATACAAATGCTGAAATCTTAATTCGGAACCCAGTATGGACACCATGTATATATTATATTCTTTTCATACTCAGTTAATGATTTTTCATGCCTAAGTTACAATCTATTCATCTGCCGAGGATGGACCGCTGATTATCGAGATAAGGTAATTTGTAACATTAAACACACGTCATCGACAAGGCTCCCGGTATCTTCTAATTCTCCATAAGTAGGAAATCAAACTATATCGCCCTTAAACTACCAAGTCTCATCTATCACACGAAGAATACGTAATAACACGAAACCTAGGAACCGTTTAATTTAAATTGGCGCCGTTGATAGTTGTTTTTAGAAACGTACATAACCTACCAAATTAATTATATGGAATTTGATATTGAAATTGGACACTTCAGTTTGACACGTTTGGTTGTGGATTTTTGACGTAGTCATGCATAAAACATATCTAAATCAATCATGCTCAATATAGATTGACGCACGTTCCATACTCGGGGAAATATTTATCCGTCCTTTTATTTTTGGTGCAATTCAATTCATTGAATTATTTATAAAATATAATTTTGTGCTTTTGAAATATTAATATCTCGTTTTGGGAAAATTAAATATAATTTTTTTCGGAAATGACTAAAAAGAAAATTAAGTGCAACGATATATAGGAATAAAAAGAAATATTTATTAAACACAATATGGGGCAAAGTTCGAACGCGGGAATTATTAAAACACAAATTCAAATGTCTCACCTCAAGTAATGAGACAATACTTATAAGTGCTCAAATTGTACGGGCTAGTAAATATAACTTATGAATCAAAAATTGCACAATTTAAAAAAGAAACAAATTGGGAACCTACTTCCGATATGAATTGTATACGAACCATGGTATTCGAGGACGAAAAACTAAAATATAATATGTTCTTGGTGTTTCTTGCTGAGTTCTGAAATACTCAGAAATATGAACGTAAGACTCCCATCAATGCACAATTTACGAAACTATTCAAAAATGTCACCGACTGCTTCCGATTTGCATTACCTAGAGAGTATATATATCCTTTATTCGGCAATGAAATACTCACACAGATAAACGTTCAACCTTCTCTCTCATGAACAACTCAAATTCTCATATCCCATTTACTTCTGACTTTGCCTAGTGGAACACAACATTACCAATTACTATATCCTGTCAATTACATCATCAGTGTATGTCTTCGTAGCCATTTGTCAATATTTGCTCAATATATAAGTGTTTAATCTACATACGAGAGATCTCCTGCTGAGTTTAACTGCGAAGATTATTAACCACGCCTCCGACCGACACTTGAAGTTACTCGTCTTGGTACTCCCGTAGTGTATCTACCAGGTTAGGCCTAGGCCATACTTTTTTCCGATTTTTCTTATTTCAGTTCTGTTACGAGTTAGGGGACTGTCTGTGTTAGCCATGTGAATATACCTTCTGCCCATAGGTTTCAGTCCCTTTACACAACTCGATGTAAAGTGGGCGAACAAAATTAGTTCATATCAGTACGCACACTTCTGGAGCGCCCTCGTCTTACCAGTCATATCTAAGACATGAGACTAAAATGAAAAGTTCTATGTGAAATTGGAGAGTTTGCAACGAAAACGTCTTCTTTTAACATGGGGAATCCTGGACAATAAAAGGCACAAATATAAAGCATATAGGTGCGATACAATTTCACAAATAAACTATGTTCCGCTCTCCCGATTCCAGAATCCTCCGGACGACAGTATCAATCCATTTTAAGATATAAGTTTACAATTGGCGGAAATTCAGAAATAAGACGCTGGTTCATATATACAAAACGAATTAGATTGGTTTGACAAAACAAACGTCGCCTTCTGGTATCCTCTAACATTAGAAGATAGCTATGCAACGTGTGTTATATAATAATGGGTTCAAAAATAGGTATTTTCCCCCTCACTGCGCTTCTATTCATTATTGTTTGGGGTTCGAGATACTATCGTATCAATAATAAATCTGACTCTGGGACCTCACCCCAGTTATATAATATTAGACCCAGAAAAGAGTTTTTCCAACCACGATGCTCTTGCATGAATTTTTTCCTACAGCGTGCAATAGAGCAAACAATACATAAACATATTGGAACAGTGCGCTATAATGACTGCACGACTTCATCGCGTCGCAAAATATAAAAAAGAGCACAAACGGGATGCCAACCACAAAATTTAATCAGTAAACATCAATGACGCTATCTCAAGTAAAAGGATGATGAATATCAGTATCTGAATCACAATAAAACCCACATTATCACGACCCAGAGATGTTCAAACTGTTTTTGTCGCCCCAATTTAATTCATCTCTACTTCATTAAACAATAGTACATGACTGAAATCATAAACTCCGCGAAATCGGCTTTGATTTCTCTTTTAACCACTGCAGCCACACTGAACTATGCGCACCAAGTTTTACCCCATTAAAAATTTTTGCTTCAGTAAATATTTAAATTCGTGGCAATTAACGTGACTGAAAAAAAAAAATTTGCACAAGAATGTCTGATTGTGCGTTTATTTACACGAACTAATGGCAAAAGGAAAACTTGATTTTAAAAGTGAACGTTCAACATTCAAGAAAATATTTGATTTCAAATTGAATATGTGTATGTATGGTGGTAATTATGAGAACTAGAGGAAACTACAAAATTTAAAATCATTTTGTGCGTTCTGCAGCTTGAGGCAATTATGAGCGCCTCGCAATTCTTTGAGCCATAACTAAGCTCCAAGCTCTACCCGGGCAAAAGAATGATTCA